GAAAATACAAAAAATGTAATTTATAAAATTCCCTGCGAATGCGAAAAATTTTTGAGGCGAAATACCCAAGAAGAAGTTTGTAAAAAAATAGTGATAGTGTGTTCATGCATCTTGAAAACCACCAGAAACATTACTCAAGCTTCCCCTGCAGGCCTTCATTCAGCAGGTTTCTTGCGGTCAAGTTCAAGTTTAAATATCGAGAACTACTGAAATTCACTTGCCCTGAATAAGTATTGTTATTACGTTTCACATTGAATGAACTGATAAACCTCTGTGGGAAGTGCGATAGTAGCTACCACTCTGCTCCTTAATTAGGTTGTTAAGATGTCGTTAAAATGGTTTTCCTGAAACAAACGTGTTTTTACTGAACTGGTATCGACAGACTGGCAGGAAGCGCATTTCAGGGTTTGGTGGCCATTAAACCTGAATAATAAAACAAGATCGACCTCCAAACCAAGAAAAATTGACTTAAATTCACTTTTCTTCTCGCAATTTTGCACGGAAATTTTCGCAAATTAGTCGTAAACACAATCTGTTGTTTTCATTCTTGTGGTACAATAATAGTTGTTGTTCTCCTGCTGGAACTGGTGGATTCCCTAACCGGATGATTAACGAGCAAATGAAGGTGTTTCTTCTCTTCGAAATCAATGTGCATCGCACTGGAAAGGAGGAAATTTCCTCGCAAAATAAACGCATCAAACTGACCTTCAATGGTAGATTCAACAGCCCATTGTTAGTAATGAATTAATTTATGCAAAATTCCGGCGGTTGTATTTAATGGGTTAATTTGGAACCTCAGATTGCTTCTATAAAACCGGTGGCTTGAACCAATTGAACTACCCTTTAACTTACCAGAAGTAACCGAGGTGAATTTGGCAGGAAAAAGGCCAAATTAGAGACCAACCAGAAACTGTCGCTCCTCATGCTGGCCATCGGCGACTTTCTCAGTGTCTGCGCCCTGTCCATCATTTCTCCATTCTTCCCGGCTGAAAGCGCCCGAAAAGGCGTCTCAGCCTCTATATCGGGGCTAATTTTCGCTGTCTATGCGCTGGTGGTGTTCGTGTCGTCTCCCATATTCGGCATGCAGGTAACTTTGGAGGGCCACTCGAAACCCGCTTAGGAGCTACTTTTTTTCATCTTCCAGCTTCCGAAAATTGGAGCCAAACCCATGTTTGTTTTCGGCGCTTTTGTAGCCGGCATCTCCAACGTAATGTTCGGGTAAGTTCTCAAGATGCCAAAAAAGGGAGAGCCAAAAGATTTACGGGCATTCGCAGCTTCATAGACCGACTGAACACCTTCGAGATCTTCGTCGCAGCCTCGTTTACCATCAGAATAGTGGAGGCGTTGGGGGCGAGCGCCCATTCGGTAGCTGCCTACGTGTTGGTGGTGGACATTTTCCCGGATAACATTGGAACTGTTCGTGTGAGTATAAGAGGGCTTTGCCCTGAAAATGCCTAGAACTTTATGGGAAATTTGTATATACTTTCCTGACTGTGTTTCAATTCCAAATCAAATTCATTCCTGGGTTTCAGTCATTTATTGCCTCCTGAAAAATCAGAAAGTTGGGTGATTTTAATTAAATTTTCAGAGCGTACAGACTCAAATGTCTTCTATGTACTGTGTAAATTTCAAATAGCCACTTGCTTTCGGTTCGAAGTTATTAATTTTTTAAGAGAACGCGCCTTTGGACGAGGTCGCTCATTTTCGACACAAATATTTCCAAGTTCGTGAAAATTAGAATGTTGGGGGATTTGAATGAAATTTTCAGAACGTGCAGACGCAAATGTCTTCTCTGGACCGTAAAAATGTCAAGTGGCCACTTGCTTTTGCTTCGAAGTTATGAATTTTTAAAGAGAACCCGTTTTTGGGCGAAAACGCTCATTTTCTGCACAATTTTTTGCAAGTTCGTAAAAATCAGAAAGTTGGGCGATTTTAATCAAATTTTCAGAACGTGCAGACTCAAATGTCTTCTCCGGACTGTGTAAATTTCAAGTAGCTACTTGCTCTCGGTTCGAAGTTATGAATTTTTAAAGAGAACCAGTTTTTGGGCGAAAACGCTCATTTTCTGCACAATTTTTTGCAAGTTCGTAAAAATCAGAAAGTTGGGCGATTTTAATCAAATTTTTAGAACGTGCAGACTCAAATGTCTTCTCTGGACTGTGTAAATTTCAAGTAGCCACTTGCTTTCGGTTCTAAGTTATGAATTTTTAAAGAGAACCCGTTTTTGGGCGAAAACGCTCATTTCTGCACAATATTTTGCAAGTTCGTAAAAATCAGAAAGTTGGGCAATTTCAATGAAATTTTCATAACGTGCAGACTCAAATATCTTCTCTGGATTGTGTAAATTTCAAGTAGCCACTTGCTTTCGGTTCGAAGTTATGAATTTTTCAAGAGAACGCGCCTTTGGACGAAGTCGCTTATTTTCTACACAAATATTTCCAAGTTCGTAAAAATCAGAATGTTGGGGGATTTAAATGAAATTTTCAGAACGTGCAGACGCAAATGTCTTTTCTGGACTGTAAACATTTCAAGTAGCCACTTGCTTTTGGTTCGAAGTTATGAATTTTTAAAGATAACCCGTTTTTGGGCAGAAACGCTCATTTTCTGCACAATTTTTTGCAAGTTCGTAAAAATCAGACAGTTGGGCGATTTTAATCAAATTTTCAGAACGTGGAGACTCAAATGTCTTCTCCGGACTGTGTAAATTTCAAGTAGCTACTTGCTCTCGGTTCGAAGTTGTGAATTTTTCAAGAGAACGGTCATTTGGGCGAAAACGCTCATTTTCTGCACAATTTTTTGCAAGTTCGTAAAAAACAGAAAGTTGGGCGATTTTAATCAAATTTTCAGAACGTGCAGACTCAAATGTCTTCTCTGGACTGTGTAAACTTCAAGGCGCCACTTGCTTTCGGTTCTAAGTTATGAATTTTTCAAGAGAACGCGCCTTTGGACGAAGTCGCTCATTTTCTACACAAATATTTCCAAGTTCGTAAAAATCAGAATGTTGGGGGATTTAAATGAAATTTTCAAAACGTGCAGACGCAAATGTCTTCTCTGGACTGTAAAAATTTCAAGTAGCCACTTGCTTTCGGTTCGAAGTTATGAATTTCTAAAGAGAACCCGTTTTTGGGCGAAAACGTTCATTTTCTGCACAATTTTTTGCAAGTTCGTAAAAATCAGAAAGTTGAGTGATTTTAATAAAATTTTCAGAACGTGCAGACTCAAATGTCTTCTCTGGACTGTGTAAATTTCAAGTAGCCACTTGCTTTCGGTTCGACGTTATGAATTTTTTAAGAGAACGCGCCTTTGGACGAGGTCACTCATTTTCTACACAAATTTCTATAGTTTAACAGTTTTTGAAAGGCCTAAAAACCCCATATAAGAAATATTTGAGTTGAATTGTAAATTAGGTCCAAACGCACTAAACCATAAGCATTTTGTGCAAAAGTCAATGCTAAACTTTTGCATAAACAGAACAAAAAACACAAAAAAATCATGAAAACTCCCTGAAGATGAGTCAAAATCTAAACAGATAGAACGCACTTTTATTTTAAAAATGCACCCAAAAATGTGAATCGTTTGTTGATTCGTTTATGCGAAAATATTGCCGAAATTTTCCTGATTACGCTCCCAAATCGAAACTTTTTCCACTTATAGAATACAGTTTGTGCTACACAATACATGGAAACTTGACTATCACTTGACTAGTTTCTGAGAAAATCCGAGAGTTGAGAACCTCAATTTGAAAAATTGGTAAAATTTGAAAAATCCTGGAAAGTGGCCTGTTAATGACTGGAAATCTAAACTTTCCTATTTATAAAACAGACTATCTTGAACAATATACAAATCATACATACAAAAGTCGCTCCCTAGTTTACCGGGTTTCCGCCAAAATAACTGCCAAACTGCGGCTTACAAACTGTGCAAAAATTCCTCAAATTTTCCTGAAGATGGTTCAGAGTCGGAACGTTTTTCACTAATAGAACGCAGTGTGCGCTACCGAAGACACGCAAAGGTGATAATGCGAGGTTACTAGTTTTTCAGAAAATAAATGCCAATTTCAGGCCTGCATAGAGAATCGCGGAATTTTGTCGTAAAGTTTAAAAAATCCTAGAAAATTGTTGAAGACTCGAAATCGAAACTTTTTCCCACACATTTTTGGAAATTTGGCAACAACGCTACACATAAAAACTGATGATGGTGGAAAAATACGCCGAAACGTATTTTGATTGATAAATACAGACAATAAATGACTGAAGCCCAGGAATTAATTTGATTTATGGGAAATGTGTATTGATTGCTTTAGGGGCTGTTGGAAACCTGCGTAGGGCTGGGACTGAGCGCTGGCCCGGGGATCGGGGGACTTCTTTACGGGGTAATTTCTCCCAAACGGGCCCCAGGCGCCTGTGCTACTAATCGCGTGGCATTTCTTCTAGGAAGGTTGGAGGCTTTGGGCTGCCCTTCTTTGTCTGCGGAGGCATTGCGCTATTCGTTGCTGTGGTGAACGTGTTTATCCTACGGAAGCCTCAGAGTAAGTCCCAGATGCAACTAACTCTCCTCGACGCTCTGCTTCCAACCAAACGGGCAAATCTTTCTAGGAAACGAATTCAAACCCAGTGGAACCATGCTCAGTTTGATCCGTCTACCACCAGTGCTGATCACTTGCATGATTACCACTCTTGCTGCCATGTCCGGGTCCTTCTTGGACCCCACTCTAGAGCCTCACATGAGAAAAAGCGTAGGCCAGTCTTTAAGTGGCATCACTTCCAATCTGAACGTGTGTTTGCAGTTTGGGTTATCCCCCAGTCAAGTGGGGCTGCTGTTTCTACTCAGCTCGGCCACCTACGGGCTGTGCAGCCCCCTCTGGGGCTGGCTCTCGGATAGGATCAAGCACTACAGCTGGCTTATGACCACTGGGCTGTTTGGATCTGCGCTCGTGCTGCTGCTTCTCGGGCCCTCGCCATTGCTGACCTTCTTGCAAGAGTAAGTCCTGCAGTTCTGCTCAACCTCCTGCAGCTAATGGCAGCATTTGCAGCTCAGTCTGGCTCAAAGCAGTGGCTCTGGGGGGTCTTGGAGTGTCCACAGCCATGACCGTTATCCCCACATACCAATTCATGCTGGACAGTGCCGTGTAAGTGAAAAACAGCAGAGTTTTCCTAGCATGCAACCCGATATTTTTCCAGGAATAGAGGCTTTGCGGAAAACCTGGGCACGCATGGCATGATCTCGGGGCTGTGGGGATCCGTCTACTCCCTGGGCGAAGTTATCGGGCCGATTTTAGGCGGCACTTTGATGGACAACTTCAACTTTTCCGTCACCGCCACTGTGCTGGCGCTTCTCAACTTTCTGCTCGCCATAATTGCTCTGGTCTACTTCAAGCTGAATGCGCTGAACTCGAAAGCTGACAAAGCGATCCACGGAACGGACAGTGAAGCTGGCGGAAGCGCAGAAAAGTGCGGCCAGAAGGATAATATTTCGTGTGTTAGATTCTAGGGGGACCAATGGACTGCTTAACTGTGCCAAGGCGTGCAATTGTTACAAAGTTGTTTAAAAAGCGCACTCTAATAAAGATGCTGAAGAGTTCAGTTGTCAGTAAATTGCGTTTCGTCCATACAAATTTTCAAAAGTTCGAGGCCTCTCGATTGATAACGAACAGGTTGGCGCATATCAACGCATGTACACTGTAGTTTGATCTCTTTAATCAGTCTTTAACCAAAGCAAACAGTCTGCCCGGTTAACAACAACAAATTATCATTTGGGAGCCAACCATTTGAGCGACTACGACGGGAATGTGTGTTATCGTCGATATTTGTTCTGAAGATAGTAAGATAACAGTGTAATTGTGACAGATTCTTAAGGTCGAAGATTGTTCATATATCGGTAAGTTTCACTAGAGTGGACGAGTTTTTATTAATAGTGTCTAAATGAGCAAACGAACCACCCATAAAGCTTCGAAGATAGTCAAGGTGGAAGCGAAAGAGTGTAGTAGTTTTGCTGTGTATTGTAGAAAAGTCTAGGTAGGTCTACGATATGTAGGTATATCCCACATAGCAAAATGATATTCCCAGAATATACCTGGAACATTCATGTGATGTACATGCATATTCCTGTACTGTATATTCCTGGAATGTACATGGTACTAACATATGAAAAACTCTAATGGACTGCTCTTGAGCTGTTGCCTATTTGACGCGGCGAAACATTCAATTTCCATGGATTTATGGGCGTGAGCTCGCAGGAAAACCGCAAAAGATGAATGCCTGCAATAAAGCTGAGGGCTGTTTGAAATGAAAAATGCACTTACCATCCGGTCCGAACACACTCACATTGAAGCCCTCCAGCCCTTTGGCCAGGTACGTCATGTTGAGGGGTTGGTAGCAGGTTTCGGTAAGCACAAGTAGAGGTTGGGGAGGTTGGAGGGAAGCCAGAGGGACAGCGCAGGCCAGCAACCCCAACAAGTACAGGCCTGCCATTTTTCCCTCTT